CATATTTACCCATTAGCTGGAAAATGTATGTAGAGCTCCAACAGTTACTATAGGAATTGGGCATGAAAAAGATCATCTATAATATGGACCCCTAGAGCTCCAATGAGTTGTTGTTCACTGTAGGAATGATAAATCTGGTGTTTTTCATTCACCACCAAAGATGGTGGGGTCGTACAGCTCCCACATCTGTCTTTGGGTCCCTAGTGACTACCCTTGACCCCCACATAGGGCAACCCATAAGTGAGGCTACTCGTACTTCAGCAGATCTGGGGATGGTTGAACCAATAAGGGCATGAAAGGCATGGGCTATTGACAGAAAGGAGAGGTGCAAAGGCCCCGTGAAGGTCTTGAGGACCCAGATGTGGGTTGACTTGAAAAAGGCTGGGGTAGCGAAAGAAAAACTGCCCCCCACCCTTTGCATGCTGCTGTCCCCTCTGTAGCAGCCACTCTGGATACACTGAGTCATAAGCTGGGCATGTACCATTATGTTGTACACCTTGCTAATGCTTTCTTTTCTATTGACACAGCACAGGAAAGTCAGGAACAGTTTGCTTTCACGTGGGAAGGCCAGCAGCGGACATTCACTGTCCTTCCACAGGGATACTTCCACAGTCCCACCATCTGTCATGGACTTGTAGCCGAGGACTTGGCCACATGGAAGAAACCACAAACCGTGCAGTTGTATCACTACATTAATGATATTATGCTCACGTCTAATTCTCTTTTAGATTTAGAAGGGGCAGTTCCTAGAATGCTGCAACATCTACAGGAGAAAGGATGGGCTGTGAACAGCACCAAGGTTCAGGGACCTGGTTTGTCTATAAAGTTCCTGGGGGTTGTCTGGTTGGGTAAAACTAAAGTTATTACTGAAGAGGTCATAGACAAGTTCCAGGCTTTCCCTACCTCTACCATTGTGGCAATATTACAAGAGTTTTTGGCTCTTTTGGGCTACTGGAGAGGGTTTATCCCACATTGGGCACAAATTCTGAAGCCCTTATACTGGTTGGTATGAAAGGGCATCAGGTGGGACTGGGACGAGACATGCAGTTGGTTTTACTGCTAAGTGAGCAATCAAGACCGTGCAGGCCTTGAATGTAATGGACTCATCAAGGCCCTGTGAGCTAGGTGTTCATGTAACTGAAGATGGTTATGGATGGGGTGTTTGGCAGAGGCTTGAATAGACACACCAACCTATTGGATTCTGGTTACAACTATGGAAAGGAGCAGAGGTCCAGTACACCTTGATAGAGAAGCAACTGGCTGCTGTGTACCATGCCTTGCTGGCTATGGAGCCCATCACTGGAACAACTTGGGACCAAGGTAATAACCACCTATCCCATTGTGGGGTGGGTACGAGACTGGACCCAAAGGCCATGGAGTGGCATGGCACAGATGCCTACACTGGACAAAGGGGCACATGTTTACAGGAGCATAGTGCCCTCTCTGCTAGATCCTTAAGTGGAGAACTCCAATGCTTATTGGGCCAGTGACCTATACTGGAGGAAAGCAGGAAGAACTTGCTTTTGAGCCATTGGTAGCCAAGAGTCCTTTTCAGGAGGGAAAAGCCCCATACCTGAAGATGCTTGGTACACAGACGGCTCTAGTCATGGGCAACGGCAAAGTGGAGGGTGGTGCCTTTCCATCCTAAGACTGAGACAATATGGATGGAGGATGGAGAGGGGAAGAGCAGCCAATGGGCTGAGTTGCATGCAGTATGGCTCGTGATCATCAAGGAGCCTTCCCTTATAGTTGACTGCACTGACTGCTGGGCCATCTATCAGGGATTGACCCTGTGGCTACCAACATGGTACCATGCCAACTGGATGGTTGGTCACTGGCCCTTTTGGGGGTAAGAGCTGTGGCAAGACCTATGGGCCTCTGGTCAGACTAAGACTTTTACCCTGTATCATGTGACTGGCCATTTGCCTTTCGTATCCCCAGGGAATGATGAAGCAGACACATTGGCCCAGGTGTGCTGGCTAGAAGGAAAGCCTGCCTCTGATGTGGCCCAATGGTTACATCAGCGTTTGTTGCACATGGGGCAAAGGACAATGTGGGCTGTAGCCCATCGGTGGAGCTTGTTAATTGACCTTTGAAGAAGTCAGCCAAGCCTGGAAGGAATGTCTTGTGTGCTCTAAAAGGGACTTAAACCGAGTCCCGCAGCAACATGGGACAATAGTAAAGGGGCTGATACCCCTTGTCAGGTGGCAGATAGACTATATATTGGGCCTCTACCCATATCAGAAGGATATCGGTATGCTATGAGTTGTGTGGATATGGCTACTGGAATAATGGTTGCTTTTCCTGCACGTGGTTCAAATCAGCAAACCACAAAGAGGGACCTAGAGCGTTACTTTGCAGCCTATGGCTGGCCACATGTGTTTGAGAGCAATCATGGCATCCAATTTCCAGGACATGCATTACAAGGATGGGTGCAGCAATTAGGAATAAAGTGGAAATTTCATGTACCATATAACCCTACCAGGGCAGGCATGATAAAGAGGTACAACGGTTTGTTGAAATTGGCCCTGAAGTTGGACACCAATACTCTACGGGGTTGGTCAGTTTGCTTATGGACAGTGCTATGGCATTTGAATGAGAAGCCCTGAAAAGGAGTCTTGAGCCCTGTTGATATGGTAATACACCTTGCTGCCTCTCCTATACAACTGTATGTGCAAACCAAAGAGGAGTTATTGAAGTCAGGATATGGTCAGCAGAGCAACATCCTGCTTCCAGCTCCTACTGCATTAAACCATGGAGACACTGGTAAGTGGACGTGGCACTGGACATTTCGACTCATGGAACAGCAATGGCTGGCCCTTCTGGCACCTTGGGGAAAAGGCCTGGAAGCTGGCCTTGTGTGTATTCCTGAAGTAACAGCAGAGTGGCCCCCAAAGATCACAGTAGTATACCTAAAATGTTGAGGAGGTAGGAGCATCTTATGGGAAGTTTTGTTTTATCTTTATGGCCAGTGCATGTACCTCCCCTAGCTGTATATATTGACCCATAATGACCCATCTGTAACTCCCACTGGGAGAGAGGTGAATGTTTGGTATACTAGACCAGGATGAGATCTCATTCCACCCACTGTTCTATCATAGGACCACTCTCTTCATGTATCGTATCTGATGGAGAAGATCTGCCTATGCTGGTGTCATTAAAACATGTATCTTATCATCCTTAAGGTTATTTTCTTCTATAGTCCTTGTGGCCTATATGTGCTCCCTGGCTGCAGCTGCTGAATGATGATTGTTCTGAACTCTACCTCTTCAGCTACTGCCTGACTGTGTAACGGGTGAGCTATGGACTTAATCTGCATAGGACTTTGAATACTCTAGCTTGAGGATTATCATGATTTTATTACTGTTGCTATTATATGTCATTAGTCTGGTTACAGTGCTCCAGTTTTCTTGCCCAGGGACCACTGCTGAAGAGGGGGAATAAGTAGATAGTAAGGCAGGATTTCTGGAGGGGTGCCCTGTGGGTAAAACTGCAGTATTTCCAGAATCTCTTGACTGGCTTTAGTGCATCTCCGTATCAACAGGTGTTTTTAAGGCAGGGAGAGAAGTAGTTTATCTCCATTTCAATGGGTATTTATGGAGGGCTTCTCTGAATCTGAGAGGATCTGAGAGCTTGAGGGGAGGATTCTCTGGCTTCTGCCACTTCAGGAGAGAGACAGACGCTGGATGGCTTTTTTTTTTGTAAGCAATAAATGGGTTTTCAACTGTATTTCTCTCTTTGATTTTGGTTTCAGCTAGGGTTCTGTCCTGGGATTTCATCTCCCCGGAGTTACAGAGCTATTTTACATTTGTGGGTTGGTTTGCTAAAGGGACAGGCATTAAGTAATAATGTGAACCTAAGGAGTTGACTAAATTTTAAGGAGATACCTATTTACAAACACAAAAAGTTACAATATAATTTAATAAGTGTTACAGTAAAATATGTTATATCAAAGTTAAAGAAGGGAACAGTTAACTCTGCCTCAAAAGGGTTCTTGAAATTAAGTCACATGTAAAGAGAAGTTTGAAGGATGAATAGATGAAGAATTTATCAGGAAGAAAAGGGATGATGCCTAGTAAAGGGGATGTATGAAGCAGCAGCATGAACACACTTACTGTACGCATGAATATTTGGTGGTTATTTGTATTTGTGAGGGGAATGGTAGGAGGTAAGACCAGAAAAGTAGGATGGGGTCAGATGTGACATGATAAGGAGAATAAACATTATCTTGTATGCAATGAGTCAAGGTTAAAAGTGAAATGGGCTTAGAAGGGTAGATTGGAAAGGGGAGAGCTTGGAGACAGGAATATAAAGCAAGAGGTGGCAGTGGACATGAAGAAAAGACAGAATTGTTAAGTATTTTTAAGGTAAAAGCTAATCTAGATAGATGTGGTGGGTGGAAGGGAGGGGGAGTGATAAAGCTGAAGGGGAGACAGCTTCTATCCTAAAATATTAAGTACTGAGAAAAGTAGATGTTCTGAAATCAGAAATCAAGTATGGACTACTGGGGAGAGAGAGGTACTATAATTAGTTCAATTTTAAAATTACTAAATTTGAAACACTTTTCTGAATCCCTCAAATAGGTCATGGGGAATTATGGGTCTGGCCTGCAGTATATTTACTTTAGGATATGGGTCATCTTTTGCAAGTGAGGGTATGAGAAAGCCCTGAATTTAACTGATGAGTAGATCCCTAAACCACCCTAGCAGGAAATGCTAATCTATTTTTTAAATTTAAATTTTATTTATAAAAAAAAGGTAATCATATAACTCCAACAAATAATTTTAAAAGTGTAGATAAAGTCTTTTCTTTCTCAAGCAACTCATTTTCTCTTCGAGAGTAATCAATGTTATCAGATTTTTTTATATTCTTGGTATAGTCTTTACTCATACAAGCAAATATGCAGGAATCTTCCTTTCCCCCCTTATCATAACGTATATATATAGACCGCTTCCCCCCCACCAATCCCTGCCTTCCCCGGATCAAGGCCATTTACTTACCTTAGGGTGGCACCCTCAGTCTTAATCACATCTCCATCTTTCAGATAAACATATTGTTGCTCTCCATCTCCTATAATTTCTTCTCTCTGAGGATTCCGTGGTAGTTTTTTAATGCAGTATGTAGTGTCTAACACAAAACATGTAAAAATATATTGTCACTCTTTAAATGACAGTTCAGCCTTTTAAGAGATCAACTTTCATAGAGCTAACACTTGTGAATGGCTGCAAAAATACTAACATTAAGAGACAATATAAAATGGGATGAATTGTAGCAGCATATCTTTGGGATGGTAACTATTTCTTATATCTCAACAAAAAGCTCATCCCCATTAGGTCTACATAAAAGCCTTTGTGTTTTTCTAGTCACTCTTATTTTAGACAAATATTTGAAAGTAGTTTTTTATAATCTTAACTAGCTTTGATATTAAGATGGGTTCTGAAGAGGCAGTAATAAAGAACCTGGCAACTTTTCTCTATGTAGGTGCCTAACACAAAGTAAAAGAAGCCATGGCATCATGGCATCATGGAAGTAGTTATTAAAAGGATGATAGCATAAAGTTCTTTCTGTGAGTGCTGAAAGGAACCGCCAGATCTGGAGCTAAGATATTAAACCATTAAAATAAATTTAATGCATACTACCTCTCATTGACACAAAGAAAATCAATCAACTAACCAATCCATAGCTTTGTGCCAATTTTCTAACCAGCACCATGACACCAAAGTGCTTAAAAAAACTGTCAGAGTTGGGGAAACAAAACTGACAAACAGGAAATAAAGAACTATACTCAGTACCATTTACAAATACTAAATGAACAATTCTTCTAACAAAAGCAAACAGGAGTTTAGAGACAGGAAAAACAATTAGCAAAGGATTCATAAATGTGATAGATATTGAGGTCTGACTAACAGTAAGAATAGGGTGGGAAAAGGTACAGAGACAGACTTGTAGGTAAGGGGAACAGCATTAGTATAGGCATAGAAACAAGAATAAGCATGGCTTATGAGCAATAATGTAATGCTACCTGTTTGTCCAATACAAAGTACTGGTTAGGAAGATAAAGTGGGTTAACTAAGATGAGCTCAGATCGCAGAGGGCCTTAAATTGCCTTTCACAGACTAGAGGAATTTAAACTTTTCTGATATGGCCACTGTATGTCCTTAGTAAGAAAACTAAATAGGGTTAACAGGTTGATCAAGATAGCAATGGTAGGTGCAGAGACTGGAGGAGGAGAGAGAGAAAAAAAACCAAGAGGGGATGATTATAATAACCCAGCAGGAAGGAAATGAATATTAGAGCCAGGATGGTGGCAATGGAAATATGGAGGGAGAAAAAGACATTCACAGAAAAATTGACAAGGCAGAGAAATCTGGCCAGTATAGAAGATAAAGGAGATAGAACTATTGTCAATGTAATAGACCTTCTTTCTCTAGCCCCAAATTCCATTATTTTGTAATTTAGAGGCTGAAGCAAAAAATAACATTCTGTTCTGGGAACTGACATTATATAATAAGGCTGTCTTCATTATACAGTGAGATGGTGAGTTTTTTTGTTTTTTATTTTTAACCTGTGTAATTTGCTTTTTAGTGTAATATGTTTTTAGTAATGAAACCTTTGACAGACAATCTTCCTAAAATACTTAAAAGAATCTCAAAATTACAAAGTAAATGTCATACTATAAAACAACTGTGTCAGCTTAAAAAATTATGTGCAAATATGAAAACATCATATTCACAGTAGCAGTCTATATAGGCAGGCTGGAGAAGGGCAGGCTGAAAGCAATCATATAATAATAGTTATTTTTAATAAAAGCTTATTGATATATAATTCACATACTATAAAATTCACTCTTTAAAAGTAGAGAATTCACTGGTTTTGTAGTACATTCAAAGAACTATACAACCATCACCACTATGTACTTTTTAGAACATTTTTGAAACCCCTCAAAGAAACCTGTACCAATGGTAGTCACTCCCAATTGTCTACTTCTCCCAGCCCCTGGAAACACTTACCTACTTTCTGTCTCTATCATACGATTATTTTAACAAGAGGAAACCCTCAATCATTTGTTAAGGTTTGAATAGTGGGTTGTAATATCACTCAAAGTGCTAATTATTGAAGCTGATATAAACATATGGTATTGTTTATATATAATACTTTCTAACAAAAACACATTGAAATTGAGTAACACAGAAATAAACATTTGACTCCTAGGACTTGGAGGTGTAATACATGGCAAAGACCCAAATTCAACTGCAAAATAATAATCAGATAATAAAATATGTACTATACTACAAGATTTACTCAAAACAAACCAAATCAAAACATTTAAGCAGCCTGGGCCTACATAGTCCTTATGTTTAGTAAAATTCTGTCTGTCTCCCTGTAAGCCTCTAGGAATTCCCTAATTGTACACTGATTGTATTTTAAAATCTTGTAAACAAGTTGCTTTGGAGTTACTCTATCTTCCATAGAACTCTTATAAACGACACTCATACTTTTGCTGTGGCCTGTAAAAACACAGGTTGTTAGCACTGTAGTTGAAAATTTTCTGACATACTAATAATTAAAACAAAACAGTAAGATAATATGGAATAAGGAAAATAATAATAGAATGAAATGGAACAAGAAAGCAGGTGATTAAAGGTTTGGAGAATGAAGAAATACATGGAATTTTTTGGGGAGATTCTGGAAGTTACCTTTGTATAATTCCAGTGTTGAACTACTCAAGGTCTGTGTATGCAGCTGGTCTAGCTGCAATAAAGTGCATCATGGAAGATAACAAGCCACTTCACAGGTTAAGTATTGAAATTTTAGTGGCTGTACAGGAGTGTCAAAATTTTCCTTGATTTTCTTTAAATCGATCTAACAGGTAATCTATTATAGAAATACTCATTACTTTGGAACTCAAAACTACTTTGAATTTTAAAAAAGTGAGTCAACTATCCATTAAGAGGTGAATGGATAAACAAATCATGGTATATTCTTACCATGGATTACCACTTACGAAGGAACAAATTACTGATACTTGAAACATGGGTGAATCTCAGAAACATGATGCTGTGTGAGTGAAGCCAAGCAGAAAGCGATTCATGTACTTTCTATGTGAAATTTTAGAACAGGCAAGATTAATCTATAGTGCAATAAAGCCTATCAATGGTTGCTGGATATGGAGGGGAGTCACTATAGAGGGGCACGAGGAGATCTCTTTTTGGGGTGGTGGGAGTGTTCTTAATCTTGGTTGGAGTGGTCACATGTTTACCAAACTATACACTTAAAATGAGCACATTTTACGTATGTAAATTCAAGCTCAATAAAATGGGTTGGGCTGTAAACATTTAAAATTTTCAAACTGACCCTAATGCTAAGAATTGACTAAAGCTAATTAAGGACACTCAACATGTTTTTTAATTCACAAAATTTAATAGCCAGATAGACAAAGAGAAATAAAGGTGAGGAAAAGACAGACTGACCAAGAGTGACATCCTGTGGCATTCAGTTCCCTTGGATTGGAAGCAAGTAGGTAAAAGGGTAAGAATGTGAAGCTAGACAGCTTTTTATAATGGGCAGCCTGGTGATACTGGGTGCTGTAGCTGAGAATATCTTGGTGTCCCAACTGTAGTCTTAAGGCCTAAAAAGAAGACACTTAAAAATATGTAGAAATATTAGTTGAATGCATATGCACATTCATTCTGTGAATCAATGTTTTTGACCTTGTTCTTCCTGTGCCTTAAACATGCCGGGTACACCCACCATTCCTGGAGTATCTCTGCTCCTGCAATGTCCTCTGCCTGGTATGTCCTTATCTGATATCTGTCCACCTTGATATAATAGCCACTACCAACTTTATTTTCTCTCCCCTTTTTCTTTGCTTAGCTTTTTCTTCATAGCATCTGTTACCAGCTGGCCTATTATTTATTTACCATTTACCTTCCCTACAAGAATGAAAGCTCTATGAGAGTAGTCACTTGTTTTATTTGCTGCTATATCCCTGTGCCAAGAACAGTGCCTAGAGATAGCAGTCACTTGAATTATTTGTTAAAACAAAGAATAAATCTATGTGTGTGGTGATGAGATGAGGGAATAGGAGAGAGATGGTAAAGTTTTAGAACTAAATAAAAATAGAAAAACAGGGCATTTCCTTTCCTCTCTTCAAATTGGGAGCCATATTCAAGTTACGTTAATTTCTAGAAGTACCATTTAGATATGTATGGTATTCAGTAAGTGGCTTACTAGCTTGCCTAGCTCTGTAACTGAAATAAATTATTTTGAAACACAAGTGTTCCTCAATGGGCTTAAAGAATGTTTTCTGTTTACCATTGCTGATGCTTTTACAAATATCTCCTATGCCTCCAGTATGATCATGGTGCCAATGGGTCACTATGATTTCCTGGATTGCTGTGTTAAATTCAGTCAGAGCTTGCTTTAAACAGCTGATATATTCTGGAACTGCCGGTTCTCCAGTGTCAATGAGGATTCTCCTGAAAATTAGATGGGAGATAATCACACAGTGGAACTTAGAGTTAATACTAGCACATTTGTCACACAGATAATTCACATTACTTAATTTAAGAAACTACATAAATTGCTGTTTTCAATATGCTTGAAAACTAGATGTTACTTTAGCTTAACTATAGTATTCTCACCTTAAGTTCTTTGAAAAAACTTTTAGCTAAATGAAAGTCTGAACAATAGCAATAATGAGCATCACATAGCACTTAAATATGGCACTATTCCAAGGACTTTACATGTTTAAATGATTGTTTTCCTCATGACAACTATTTAAGGTAGGTATTTCATTATTATATGCAGAAATTAAGCAACTTGTCCAAAGTTACTCTGAATAAAGCAGAACCAGAATTCAAACCCAGGGTTCTGGTATCAGAATATGTGCTTTTATTCACTCTTCCTTCAAGATCATTTACGACATCCTCAAATGTCTCATAGATATGAAAGAGTTTAATTCAATGGTATCCTTAAAGAAATCTAGTCTTCTGCACTGCATATTCAACTTATGGCTGAAGTTTTACATTGGCTTCCTGAAACATGCAAAGGAAGGTATCAGGGAAGTCCCGGGGAAATGCCTGAGCTGGTTCATTTCTTTACTTAGACAATCTTATCTTTCTTGGCTTGTGGTTGTCGACCTTCCTTATACTTTGTCTGTCCTTCCTCACTGTTTTATGGGATGACAGTCTTTCTCTATGAAGTTTTTTTCTGAACTAAAGAAATAAGGGTGACATTTTCCTCCTTAAGAACCAATTCACAAACTTCTTGATTCATGCTGTTTCACAGTAATACCTCCCTTTTTCAGGAAGGGGGAGAAAAGATTAGTCTCTCTGAGAGACTTTTTCTGAGTCATTCATTCATTAATTCATCACTAACTGTTTCCCAATTACATACTGTGGGCCACACCTTTTTTGCAAGACAAAAAACCCTAAGAAACATTTGGAGCTTTCATATTTCTCTCTTTGATCCTCAGATCAACTGTAGGGAGGTTTTATTACTTGTTATTAGTTTATTTTACAGAAGAGGAAACTGGTCTTCAGAAAGGCTAAGTGATTTGCTCCAGGCCCCCCAGCAAGTAGTGCTGGGAAAGATGAGATATTCAGACACAAGGTCCAGTGACTTCTCCATTCAAGACAGTGCCACTCCGGTGGAAGGGGACTGCTGAAGCAAGCACCAAGAATCATTCTTCATGTGGCATAAATAAAACTTCAGCTGTAAACTAGAAAAAAAGTTCTCAATTTCCTCCTTAGCAAATATCAATGTCTGTGAATAGTTACTGCAGAGGATTAGATGGTGTCACCTCTGTGTGGGCACGCTGATTTTGTTCTTCATGGCCACAGACAATGCCCCATGTCAGGAGGTCATTTTGCAAATCTGAGTTCGTATAATTAAGGGGAAAAGAGAAAAGTGCAGAAGATTCTGTGACCAATTTTCAAGTGGCTGTGGTTCACTCAAGTGGAGACTGAAGAAAGCCATTGGCTGCCCTAGTCTGAAGATCAAATTTGGATTTTGTCTTAACTGGAGCTATAAATTTGGGAGTTATTAATAGGTAACAAGGAATCCAAGGAGGTAGACAAAATCACCTAAAGAGAGAATACAGCACAAGAAGAGAAGACTAGGACTGCACCATGAGGAACTCACACACTTAAAAGATCTGGTAAAGAGGATGATTCTGTAAAGGAGACTGCAAAAAAGCGGCTGAAGAGGTAAGAGGAGACCTGAACACAAGGTGTTAGCAAATCTAAGAGGGAGTCAACAGTATCAAAAGATACTTTAGTTCAAATAACACTGTAATGGACAAATGGGTTTCATGATATAGTACCTATCTGTGATTTTAGAACTGTTGTGATACTAATATCACATGTGGATACTAATATCAGAACATCTTGCTGGGACCCAATTAATAATCATTTCTAGCAACTTGACTAGTATTTTATACAGCAGAAATGCATCATCTTTATGTTACCTTACTCAAGCTCAAATATATGGACTCATTATCTCTCCCTCATATGAGTGATTTCACTGGCCATTCCACTCCTTGAGTTTATGTGAGCAGTGGTGTAAGATGAGAGACCATGAGTCTGCTCTTCCCTCAGTTTCAGGTTCAAGTCTCTTTTAGCACAAGCGCTTTGCTACACTGACTGTGACTGTAGTGTTTAAAGATACATGTATGTATTTTTCATACAACATGGCCTTTAAATGCAAGTCAATTTTTTTATCTGGTTTTCAAACCGAACCAGCCATCTGATTCATCACTGGGAGAAGAGCAGGCTGTGTTGAACTTACTGAGACGGTACATTGATCTCCAACATAGTGTTCTAAAACTTTTGTCTAGGGTAATTTTGACTATATGCGATTTTCATCTTAGGTGCTGACTATAAAACTAATCTAAGAAAACACACTGTAGAGAGTAGGGAAATCCCATGGACTTCCTGGGGTGAAGAAGTCCCAGTCAAGACATTCTACCCTAGATATCAAGTATTTTTTTCTGCTTAATTCTGTTTTCCTAGATTTTGGAGGCAGTACAAAGCTCTTATACCCACCTGACCCTGCCTTGTTTGTTCTGGACTTAACTTGCTTGCCTCCCTGACTTGCAATACTTACAGTTCCTCCATTCTGCTGCTTCTCAATTTCTGATTTACTGGAAAAACGCAAAAACAGCAGATACTTCAAATGAAACTTGACCAACTAAACTTATTAAACTGTTTTTACTCATCAACTTTATTAATTGTAACATCTGGGCTGCACAGTTAAATTCAATGTTTAATGGGAACTATATCTTATTTGTATTTAGTATTACCTAGGGTATACTAAAGACTACAAAACCTGATGTACTTACTGGGCAGTAAACAGTTATCTCCCCATTTCTGCATAATTCCTCTAAAACAATGCAGCTGAAGAAAAAATATCTTAGAAATACAGGTAGGTTATTCCATTCACAAGATAAATAGGGCCACACAGAAGTGACAAAAAACAAAATTAGCTCTTGTTCCCCAAGGGCTAGGGTATTTGTCTCTTTCAGGTTTCACAGAATTGAGCCATTTGGGAGCAATGAAATCCTGCCCTCTGCTGCTGAGTTAAGGAAAAGGCCTTAACACAATTAACCGCTTTTCTGAAGGGAGGTTATACTATGGGCAAAACATCAGGGAAAAAAGGTGAGCCACGGGCTTGCCTGGATTCTTAACAACCATAGCGAGCCGAATTTCTCAGCAGCTTAAACAACGCTTACCCTGGATTCGACATTAAGCAAAGTAAACCAGGTTTCAAAACCAGTAAGCACCCAGGCGCCTTAACCCCCACCGTTCACCCTTATTAGCGGTTGTTAAGTTAAAATACGCGGGGTAGTCGTGACTTAGAGCAGGCCCGTAAGCGTAGTGTCTGAGAACGGTCCCGGGAAAGACTGCTCGGGTGCGGGCAGGATGACTTGCTACCGGCAGCGGGCGCACTGCCTCTCCAACCGCAGAGCGCAGTCGTCGCAGCCCCAGCTCGCTGAGTCGCGCGGGGCCCTGTGTTAAGTTGCGGGGATAGAGGGACATTTACCTGGGGCCGATCCCAACCAAATAGGTGTTGGTGCCCTGCAGGGTCATGGGACCTGGATTACAGCCCAGGACGCGTACCACCCGCCCGGACAACTGCTCGATGCACCGCAGAGTAGCAGCCATCTCCGCGTCAGCTCCCAACAGTCTCCTCCCGTATCCGGTGACTAAGAGCGGAACACAGCAACTAGGCTCGGGGAGGGGGCGGGGCAGAAGTCACGTGACATCACGCCCGCGGAGAGGGGAAGAATGGTGCCTCCCGGGGCGGGGCCACAGATCAAGTGATGCCGCGCGGGCTTCCCCCGCGGTAGTTGGGAGGGAGATCTCGAGCGCGTGGCGTGAGACTGCGGAGGCGAGGCTGGATTCCGGCCTGCGTGGCTCTACCGCCTGTCGCAGAGGCTGGTGTCTTCACAACAGTTTGTATCCAAGCAGGAGAGTTTATCCAGATGGAAGAGACGCATTTAGACCTGTGTCGTCTTGTACTGAAGTAAAGGTTAGGTTTAGGGTTAGTCACTGCTAAGCCCTGGGAAGGACTGCCCCTCAGACTTGTGGGCAAATATATTCTCCCATACTGTAAGATGCCTTTTTGTTCTGTTGATGGTGTCCTTTGCCACACAGAAACTTTTTAGTTTGATGTAGTCCCATGTATTCATTTTTGCTATTTTTCCCTTGCTTGAGGAGATGCGTTCAGGAAGAAGTTGCTCATGTTTATATTCAGATTTTTGCCTATGTTTTTTTCTAAGATTTTTATGGTTTCATGACTTACATTCAAGTCTTTGATCCATTTCGAGTTTACTTTTGTGTATGGGGTTTAACAATAATCCAGTTTCATTCGCTTACATGTAGCTGTCCAGTTTTGTCAACACCAGTTGTTGAAGAGGCTGTCATTTCCCCCATTGTATGCCCATAGCTCCTTTATTGTGTATTAATTGACCATATATGGTTGGGTTTATATCTGGGCTCTCTAGTCTGGTCCATTAGTCTGATATTCTGTGTTTGTGCCAGTACCAAATTGTCTTGATTACTGTGGTTTTGTAGTAGAGCTTGAAGTCGGGGAGCATAATCTCCTCACCTTTATTCTTCCTTCTCAGGATTGCTTTGGCTATTCAGAGTCTTCTCTGGTTCCATATGAATTTTAGAATAATTTACTCTAGTTCATTGAAGAATGCTGTTGGTATTTTGATAGGAATTGCACTGAATCTGTAGATTGCTTTAGGCAGGATGGCCATTTTAACAATATTAATTCTTCCTATCCATGAGCATGGGACGTGTTTCCATTTATTGGTATCTTCTTTAATTTCTCTCATGAGTGTCTTGTAGTTTTCAGAGTATACATCTTTCACCTCCTTGGTTAGGTTTATTCCTAGGTATTTTATTCTTTTTGATGCGATTGTGAATGGAGTTGTTTTTCTAATTTCTCCCCCTGCTAATTCATTGTTAGTGTATAGGAATGCAACAGATTTCTGTGTATTAATTTTGTATCCTGCAACTTTGCTGAATTCAGATATTAGTTCTAGTAATTTTGGAGTGGATTCTTTACAGTTTTTTATGTACAATATCATGTCATCTGCAACAGTGACAGTTTAACTTTTTCCTTACCAATCTGGATGCCCTTTATTTCTTTGTGTTGTCTAATTGCTGTGGTGATGATCTCCAGAACTATGTTGAATAAAAGTGGAGAGAGTGGCATCCTTGTTTTGTTTTTGATCTTAAAGGAAAGGCTTTCAGCTTCTCGCTGTTAAGTATGATGTTGGCTATGGGTTTATCATATATGGCCTTTATGTATTTGCCCTCTATATCCATTTTGTTGAGAGTTTTTATCGTGAATGAATGTTGAATTTTTTCAAATGCTTTTTCAGCATCTATGGAGATGGTCATGTGGTTTTTGCCCTTTTTGTTGATGTGGTGGATTATGTTGATGGATTTTCTAGTATTGTACCATCCTTGCATCCCTGGAATAAATCCTACTTGATCATGATGGATGATCTTTTTGATGTATTTTTGAATTCGGTTTGCTAATATTTTGTTGAGTACTTTTGCATCTATGTTAATCAGGGATATTGGTCTGTAATTTTCTTTTTTTTGTGGTGTCTTTGCCTGGTTTTGGTATTAGAGAGATGCTAGCCTCATAGAATGAGTTTAGAAGTATTTCCTCCTCTTCTGCTTAGAAAACTTTAAGGAGGATAGGTATTAAGTCTCCACTAAATGTTTCATAAAATTCAGCAGTGAAGCCATCTGGTCCGGGAATTTTGTTGTCAGGTAGTTTTTTCATTACCAATTCAATTTCATTGCTCATAATTGGTGTGTTCAGATTTTCTGTTTCTTTCTGGGTAAGCCTTGGAGGGTTGTATTTTTCTAGAAAGTTGTCCATTTCTTCTAGGTTATCCAGTTTGTTTGCATATAATTTTTCATAGTGTTCTCTAATAATTCTTTGTATTTCTATGGTGCCTGTAGTGATTTTTTTCTTTCTCTTTTCTGATTCTGGTTATTTGTGTAGACTCTCTTTTTTTCTTGTATGACTGGGAAGGAGTTTATCTATTTTGTTTATTTTCTCAAAGAACCAGCTCCTGCTTTCATTGATTCTTTCAATTGCTTTATTCTTCTCGATTTTATTTATTTCTGCTCTAATCTTTATTATGTCCCTCCTTCTACTGATTTTGGGCCTCATTTATTCTTCTTGTAGTTTTGTTAATTGTGAGTTTATACTGTTCATATGGGATTGTTGTTGTTTCCTGAGGTAGGCCTATATTGCAATATACTTTCCTTTTAGCACTGCCTTCGCTGTGTCCCAAAGATTTTGTGGTGTTGAATTATTGTTGTCATTTGTCTGCATATATTGCTTGGGCTCTGTTTTTATTTGTTCATTGATCCATTGGTTATTTAGGAGCATGTTGTGATGCCTCCGTGCATTTGCGGGATATTTCATTTTCTTTGCACACTTTAGTTCTAGTTTCATACCTTTGTGGTCTGAAAAACTGGTTGGTACAATTTCAGTCTTTTTGAATTTGCTGAGGCTCTTTTTGTGGCCTAGTGTATGATCTATCCATGAAAATGTTCTGTGTGCTCTTGAGAAAAATGTGTATTCTGCTGCTTTTGGGTGTGGAGTTCTGTAGATGTCTTTTAGAGCCATCTGTTCTAATGTGTTTTTCAGTGCCTCTGTCTCTCTGCTTATTTTCTCTCTGTTTGATCTGTCCTTTGGAGTGAGTGGATTGTTGAAGTCTCTTAGAATGAATACATTACATTCTATTTCCCCTTTTAATTGTTAGTATTTGTTTCACATAGGTAGGTGCTCCTGTGTTGGGTGCATAGATATTTATAATGGTTATATCTTCTTGTATTGTCCCCTTTATCATTATGTAATGTCCTTTATCTCTTGTGACTTCCTTGTTTTGAAGTCTATCTTGTCTGATACACGTACTGCAAGTCCTGCTTTTCTTCTGTCTATTAGTAGCATGAAATATCTTTTTCCATCCCTTCACTGTAGTCTGTGTATGTCTTTGGTTTTAAAGTGGGTCTCTTATAGGCAGCATATAGATGGGTCTTGTTTTTTTAATCCATTCAGTGACTATGTCTTTTGATTGGTGTGTTCAGTCCATTTACATTTAGGGTGATTTTCAATAGGTATGTACTTATTGCCATTGCAGGCTTTAGATTTGTGATTACCAAGTGTTCAAGGTTAACTTCCTTACTATCTGAGAGCCTAACTTAACTCACTTAGTATGCTAATACAAACACTATCTAAAGATTCTTTTTTTCTCCTCCTTTTTCTTCCTCCTCTATTCTTTATATATTAGGTGTCATATTCTGTTCTCTTTGTCTATCCCTTGATTGACTTTGGGGATAGTTGATTTAGTTTTGCATTTGCTTAGTAATTAACTGTTCTACTTCCTTTACTGTGGTTTTATTACCTCTGGTGACAGCTATTAAACCTTAGGAACACTTCCATCTATAGCAGTCCCTCCAAAATACACTATAGAGATCATTGGTGGAGGTAATTTCTCTCAGCTTTTTGCTTATCTGGAAATTATTTAATCCCTCCTTCAAATTTAAATGATAATCTTGCTGGATAAAGTATTTTTAGTTCAAGGCCCTTCTGCTTCATTGCATTAAATATATCATGCCATTCCCTTCTGACCTGTAAGGTTTCTGCTGAGAAGTCTAATGATAGCCTGATGGGCTTTCTTTTGTATATGATCTTATTTCTCTCTCTGGCTGCTTTTAATAATCTGTCCTTATTCTTGATCTTTGCCATTTTAATTATTATATGTCTTGGTGTTGCCTTCCTTGGGTCCTTTGTGTTGGGACATATCTGCACCTCCATGGCCTCAGAGACTATCTCCTTCCCCAGATTGGGGAAGTTTTCAGCAATTATGTCCTCCAAGACACATTGTATCCCTGTTTCTCTCTGTTCTTTTTCTGGTATCCCTATAATACTAATATTGTTTCATTTGGATTGGTCACACAGTTCTCTCAACATTCTTTCATTCTTAGAGATCCTTTTTTCTCTCTGTGCCTCAGCTTCTTTGTATCCCTCTTCTCTAATTTCTGTTTCATTTATTGTCTTCTCCACCATATCTAATCTGCTCTTAAAACCTTCCATTGTATGTTTCATTTCTCTTACTGTGTTCCATAATGATTGGATCTCCAACTGGAATTCATTCCTGAGTTCTGGAATATTTTTCTGTACCTCCATGAGCATGTTTATGATTTTTATTTTGCAGTCTCTTTCAGGAAGATTCGTGAGGTCTATTTCATTTAACTCTCTCTCTGGTGTATTTATAATTTTGCTTCCAACCAGGTTCTTTGACATTTCATATTTGTATGTGGTGCCCTCCACTGCCCAGTAGCTCTACTCTCTGGAGCTGCTCAGCCCCTGGAGCAATGTTGGGGGTTGAAGTGCAGCAGTGCTGGTGCCTGGGGGGAGGACAGAGCTGTTTCCTGCTTTCCGGCTGCTATGCCTGTCTCCTCTGCCAGAACCAGTGGGCTGAACACACAGGTATAAGCCTCTATGCTTTGTGTTTGTAGCTGCTGTAGGTGGGGTTTCCTCTGGCTGGCTGAACACCAGGGCAGGGTTTGCTGGTTTGCAATTCAGGTGCAGGCTGTCCAGGAGGAAGGCACAACAGACTGCATATCATGGAGGGGGTCCTTGGAGCTGTGTAGCCAGCCAGGGGGCTGGAGC